GCACCGTTTGTTATGGTAATTTTTTCGGGGATTATTTCGGGGGTTTAAACAAACTCTTTTTTCTTCCCGGGGAACTTTGTCCGGCCAAAGGGACCCTAAATTCCCGGGAAAAGGGCCCCTAACCCTGTCCGGGACTAAGTTTGATGCCCTGGATTCTTAAAACCCCCCGAGGTATTTGGCCAGGGTTTGTTCCCAAACTAGGTGTAACTGGCCCTAATTTGCCGGCCCCGAGGGGTTGAACCAGCCCTGGGGTGGCCACCAACATAATTGGGGCCTTAACCCGAACCCCGGGGGTTTTTAACCACCCGAAGTTTGTAATAATAATTTTAATAATATTTTAAAAATAAATTTAATAATAATTTGAATACCCCAAAATGTTTTAAAACCCCTTTTGTACCCCAGAAAAAGGGTTTTCACCAACTATAATAACTGTCATAACTGACACCCGTAAGAACCACACACGAAGATTTAGGTAATAATATATATATATTATATATATATATATATATATATATATATTATATATATATATATATATGTATATTACCATATACTGCTATATTAGACCATTATAGTACTAACGAAGAGAAGACCAGGAGCTGTGACTCGCCCCCAGCAACCACATATAGGTGACTACATCGTAATGGAGTGTACCTGGCGACCGTAAATAGTCGAATTATGGTAATTTGTCTGGTGATGCTGACTTTTAACGAGGGTTTAATGACAGAAGCTGCTTATTAAGCTTACGACGCGGGTAAGCTTTCAGTCACGTGACCGAAGGACCACTGAGAGAGTGGTCCGGTAACCAGGACCAATGTGAGAGTCGTCCTGTAACCAGGGCCACTGAGAGTAGTCCTGTAACCTGGACCACTGAGAGTGGTCCTGTAACCTGGACCACTGAAAAGTAGTCCTGTACCAGGACCACTGAGAGTAGTCCTGTAACCGGGAAACCACTGGGGAGTGGTCCTGTAACCTGGACCACTGAGAGTAGTCCTGTAACCTGGACCACTGAGAGTGGTCCTGTAACCAGGACCACTGAGAGTGGTCCTGTAACCTGGACCACTGAGAGTGGTCCTGTAACCTGAACCACTGAGAGTGGTCCTGTAACCTGGACCACTGAGAGTGGTCCTGTAACCTGGACCTCTGAGAGTGGTCCTGTAACCGGGGACCACTGAGAGTGGTCCTGTAACCAGGACCACTGAGAGTGATCCTGTAACCTGGACCACTGAGAGTGGTCCTGTAACCTGGACCACGGTACGAGTGTTTCCTTAAGACACCTGCTGTCACTGTTCACCTAGCAGTAAATAGGTACTTGGGTGTTAGTGGACTGGTGTGGGTGGCATCCTGGGTGTTAGTGGACTGGTGTGGGTGGCATCCTGGGTGTTAGTGGACTGGTGTGGGTGGCATCCTGGGTGTTAGTGGACTGGTGGGGGGGTGGCATCCGGGGTTGTTAGTGGACTGGTGTGGGTGGCATTGGGTGTTAGTGGACTGGTGTGGGGGGGCATCCTGGGTGTTAGTGGACTGGTGTGGGTGGCTCTGGTGTTAGTGGACTGGTGTGGGTGGCATCCTGGGTGTTAAGTGGACTGGTGTGGGGTGGGCATCCTGGGTGTTAGTGGACTGGTGTGGGTGGCATCCTGGTGTTAGGGGACTGGTGTGGGTGGCATCCTGGGTTGTTAGTGGACGGGGTGTGGGGTGGCGATCCTGGGTGTTAGTGGATGGTGTGGGTGGCATCCTGGGTTTATTGGACTTGTGTGGGTGGCACCTGGGTGTTGTGGATGGTGTGGGTGGCATCTGGGTGTTAGTGGACTGGTGGGGTTTGGCATCCTGGGTGTTAGTGGACTGGTGGGGTGGCATCCTGGGTGTTAGTGGACTGGTGTGGGTGGCATCCTGAGTTTTTGTGGACTGGTGTGGGTGGCATCCTGGGTGTTGTGGACGGGTTTGTGGTTGGCATCCTGGGTGTTTAGTGGACTGGTGTGGGGTGGCATCCTGGGTGTTGTGGACTGGTGTGGGTGGCATCCTGGGTGTTAGTGGACTGGTGTGGGTGGCATCCTGGGTGTTAGTGGACTGGTGTGGGTGGCATCCTGGGTGTTAGTGGACTGGTGTGGGTGGCATCCTGGGTGTTAGTGGACTGGTGTGGGTGGCATCCTGGGTGTTAGTGGACTGGTGTGGGTGGCATCCTGTGTGTTAGTGGACTGGTGTGGGTGGGCATCCTGAGTGTTATGGGACTGGTGTGGGTGGCATCTGGGTTGTGGACTGGTGTGGGTGGCATCCTGGGTGTTAGGGGACTGGTGTGGGTGGCATCCTGGGTGTTAGTGGAAGGGTTTGTGGGTGGCATCCTGGTGTTAGTGGACTGGTGTGCGTGGCTCCTGGGTGTCAGTGGACTGGTGGGGGGTGGCATCCTGGGTGTTAGGGGATGGTGTGGGTGGCATCCTGGGTGTTAGTGGACTGGTGTGGGTGGCATCCTGGGTGTTAGTGGATGGGGTGGGTGGTTCCTGGGTGTTAGTGGACTGGTGTGGGTGGCATCTGGGTGTTAGTGGACTTTGGTGGTGGGTGGCATCCTGGTGTTAGTGGGCGGGTTTGTGGGTGTCATCCGGGTGTTAGTGGACTGGTGTGGGTGGGCATCCTGGGTGTTAGTGACTGATGTGGGTGGCATCCTGGGTGTTAGTGGATGGTGTGGGTGGCTTTCCGGGGTGTTAGTGGACTGGGTGGGTGGCATCCTGGGTGTTAGTGGACTGGTGTGGTGGATCCTGGGTGTTAGGGGACTGGTGTGGGGGCTTCCTGGACAAAACTGACATAATTTGCGGGAAATGCTCAGCATAACAAGCAAACTTTCTATATAGTAGTATGCCCATGATGTCAGCTATGATCTGTTACCTTGTACATGTACGGGAAATTTACCATGTACATGTACTTTTTACCTTGTACATGTACTTGTTACCTTGTACATGTATTGGTATACCTTGTACATGTACTTGTATACCTTGTATATGTACTGGTATACCTTGTACATGTACTGGTATACCTTGTACATGTACTTGTATAACCTTGTATATTTTATGGTATCCTTGTACATGTACTGGTATACCTTGTAATGTACTTGTATACCTTGGATATGTACTGGTAATCCCTTGTACTGTACTGGTATACCTTGTACATGTACTGGTATTTTCTTGTACATGTATTGTATACCTTTTTAACATGTACTTGTATACCTTGTACATGTACTGGTTGCCTTGTACATGTACGGGTTTTAACCTTGTACATGTACTGGTATACCTTGTACATGGTCTTGTTATACCTTGTACATGTACTGCTATACCTTGTACATGTACTTGTATACCTTGTACATGTACTTGTATACCTTGTACATGTACCTGTATACCTTGTACATGTCGGGGTATACCTTGTACATGTACTGGTATACCTTGTACATTTTACTGGTATACCTTGTACATGTACTTGTATACCTTCTACTTTGAAACTTGATACCTTGTACATGTATTGTATACCTTGTACATGTTGGTATACCTTGTACATGTACTTGTATACCTTGTACATGTACTTGTATACCTTGTACATGTACTGGTATACCTTGTACATGTACTTGTATACCTTGTACATGTACTTGAAATACTTGTATACATGTACTGGTATACCTTGTACATGTATTTGGGTATACCTTGTACATGTACTTGTATACCTTGTACGTGTACTTGTATACCTTGTACATGTACTTGTATACCTTGTACTTGTTTACCTGGAGTTTACCTGGAGAGAGTTCCGGGGGTCAACGCCCCCGCGGCCCGGTCTGTGACCAGGCCTCCTGGTGGATCAGAGCCTGATCAAGCAGGCTGTTGCTGCTGGCTGCACGCAAACCAATGTACGAGCCACATCCCGGCTGGTCAGGAACTGACTTTAGGTGCTTGTCCAGTGCCAGCTTGAAGACTGCCAGGGGTCTGTTGGTAATCCCCCTTATGTATGCTGGGAGGCAGTTGAACAGTCTCGGGCCCCTGACATTATTGTATGGTCGCTTAAAAGTGCTAGTGACACCCTGCTTTTCATTGGGGGGATGTTGCATCGTCTGCCAAGTCTTTTGCTTTCGTAGTGAGTGATTTTCGTGTGCAAGTTCGGTAAATAGTCCCTCTAGGATTTTTCCCGGTTATATAATCAGTTTTCTCTCCCTCCTGCGTTCCAGAGAATACGGTTTAGGAACCTCAAGCGCTCCCAGTAATTGAGGTGTTTATCTCCGTTTATGCGCACTGTGAAAGGTTCTCTGTACATTTTCTAGGTCAGCAATTTCACCTGCCTGAAAGGTGCTGTTAGTGTGCAGCAATATTCCAGCCTAATAGAACAATTGTGACCTGAAGAGTGTCATTATGGGCTTGGCACCTCCTAGTTTTAAGGTTCTCATTATCCATCCTGTCATTTTTCTAGCAGATGCGTTTTATACAATTGTTAAAGGTCCTTTAAGGTGAGATCCCCCGACATGATCACTCCCACGTCTTTGCGTTGGTGTTTCGCTTATTTTGTGGCCAGAATTTGTTTTGTACTCTGATGAAGATTTAATTTCCTCGTGTTTTACCATATCTGAGTAATTGAAATTTTTTCATCGTTGAACTTCATATTGTTTTTTGCAGCCACTGAAAGATTTGGTTGATGTCCGCCTGGAGCCTTGCAGTGTCTGCAATGGAAGACACTGTCATGCAGATTTGGGTGTTATCTGTAAAGGAAGACACGGTGCTGTGGCTGACATCCTTGTCTATGTCGGATATGAGGATGAGGAACAAGATGGGAGCGAGTACTGTGCCTTGTGGAACAGAGCTTTTCACCGTAGCTGCCTCAGACTTTACTTGGTGACGATACTCTCTGCATACTAATGTCTTTCATTTGTACTTATGAAGATTTTATTACTTATAAACTACATTATCTGTGTACTGCATAAAATATATACAAAGACTGAATTTGAATTTGATTTAGTAATTGTGAAATTTTGTCTGCAGACCAGATGTGCACCGTGGGGAGGGTGGTGCCATGCTCAGAACACAGCAGCAGCAGCAGTCACCACAGAGCAGCACCAGCAGCAGTAGCAGCAGAGACCTCACCTCATACACCCAGCAGCAGTCACCACAGAGCAGCAGCAGTAGCAGCAGCAGCAGTAGTAGGGATCTGACGCCATACACTCAGCAGCAGCTGGTTAAGACGCCAGCCAGGGAGGTGGGAAGTGCGTCCAGCACAGCACTCAAGACGCCGCCTACACGAGACCAACCCCAGGTAACAACCCTTATAATAATAATAATTTAATATAATTTTTAATAAAAATTTAATAATCTTATTACTCAAATACATAAGAAAAGAAAAATTTTTCTTTTTCGGTTTTTTAAAAAGGGAACCCCGGAGGGTTACCCCACCCAGGATAACCCAAAAAATTCAGTGCGTAAACGGGGGATTTTCCCAACTTTTTTCCCAAATTGTGGCCCCTTAATCTTGTCCCCCGGGATGCAACCCACACCAGTCGACTAACACCCAGGAAACCAATTTGTTGTTAGGTGAACAGGAAAACCCGGTGTAAGGAAAGGGCCCAAAATTTTTACCACCCCCCGGGGAATCAAAACCCGGGGCCCCTTCCGGTGGAAGGGGGGGGGAAGTTTAAACCCCGGGCCCACCGGGCCACCATCCCCGGGGGCCACCGGCCACCGGGCCCCCGGGGGCCAAACCGGCCCCCCGGGGCCCTGACATTAATAAAAATTTAAAATCTTTATTTCTACCAAAATTTGAAACAACTTATACAAAACCATAGCAACACCAATGACAAAATTAAAAAGAAAGTTTCCGGGTTTTTAAGACCCTTTCGCAACTTGGGTTTTGGGGCCTCCAGGATGTCCCCCCACCCCCGTCCACTAAAAACCTCAGGTACCTACTTACTCTTTAAGGGAGGTCCCTGGGGGGTTAGTTACCTTAAAACCTTTGCTGTCACTGTTCCCCCTACATAATAGGAAACCGGGGTGTTTATTTGATTGGTGTGGGGGCATCTTGGGGGACAAGATTGAAAGGACAAGACCAACGAAATCGAAAAAGACCCAATTCAAACAAACCATACCCCCGGAGGGGGATAGAACCCAGGTCGGGAAAAAGGGTTTGGGGAGATGGATTTTTCAACTTCCTAACCACTCGAACAAAAAAGAATTTGGGTCAACAAGTTAAATAAACCCCTGCCAAGTGAAGAGCCTTTTTCCACAAGGCACATTTCTCGCCCCCCCAACTTAAAAACCCTTTTCCCCCATATCAGACATAGACAGAGATATACACCACAGCGCCGTAAAACATCCTTTGCGGATGAAACAGATCTGCAAAGAGGGTCATCCCGCTGATACGCGGTTAACCTCCAAGAAATTTTAAACCCAAAATTTTTTCCCGTGGGCAACGGGAAAAAAATTGAATTTTTAATGAGGACAAATTTTCCCAAAAATTCTCGTTTTTGGGGAAAACCCGGAGGAAAATTTAAAAACTAGAACAAGTTACTTTCTGACTTTCCCGGGCCCAAAAAATTTTTGCGGAAAAAAAAAAAGTAAGGGACCTGGGGGGGAAATAATTCAGAGGATCTCCCCTTTCAAGGATCACAACAGTCCACGATCGGGCCTGGCAAAGAAAAGATAGGGGGATAATGAAACTTTTTAAAAGAGAGGGTCCAAGCCCCTGTGATCCTTTTAAATCACTTTTCTTTCCTAGGCTGGGATAAAACCCCGGTAGGTTTAGCGCTTTCCCTTTTTTTATAAAAATAAAAAATAATAATAATCTTTAGGGCCCGGGAAAACTACGTACATTAGCATCTCCTTCAAGGCAGGTGAAAATGGGAGATCCCAGAGAGTGTACAAGATCCTTTACTGCACGTAAAATTTTTGTCAACACCCTTTAACCCAATGGAAAAACTTGGGAAACACTTAAACCCTTTTATTCACCCCGGGAACAGGGGAAGAGATACAAAACATAAACTAAAACCGGAAAACCTAGAAGGAAAAAGGTCTCTAATCGCACACAGAAAAAATTTCTCCCCACGGAGGGGAAAACTTTTTGGCCGGGAGTGAAAAATACCCCCAGTTAAAAGTAGGGGGGCCCTTGGATACTAAAAAAAAAAAAACAGTAATGTCCCGGGCCAAGACTATTCAACACCCCCCACCAACCAAAAAGGGGAATTACCAATTTGCCCCCCGGCAGCCTTGAAGAGGGGCTGGATACTTTAAAAATCGGGGGTGCCGGATCAGCCCGGGCTGTTGGGGTCGAATGTTGGATAGTGCGGTCCCGCAAAAAAAAAGCCTAGTTGATCAAAGCCTTGATCAACTGGGAGGCCTGGTCATGGACTGGGTCGCAGGGGCATTGATCCCCGGATACCCTCCAGGTAGACTCCCTACCCTGGGTTATCTTGGGTGGCGCTCGATGTATGCACAAGACTTATTCCTCTAAGAAAAAGGAGGAGTAGATGTAAAATAGAAAGAGACAGGCGCTCCCTTTACAGGCGACGGAAAAGAATAACAGAGCGGCTAAAAGAGGTCAATATATCTGAAATGCGTAGGGAGACACTGGTCAGAGAAATAGCAAACATCGAACTTAAGCTAAAGGAATCTTATAGGAGTCAGGAATCGCGGGAAGAACTAAAAACCATAAATGAAATCGAAAGAAACCCAAAGTATTTCTTCTCCTATGCCAAATCAAAGTCGAGAACAACGTCCAGTATTGGGCCCCTACTTAAACAAGATGGGTCCTACACAGATACAGCAAGGAAATGAGTGAGCTACTCAAGTCCCAATATGACTCAGTTTTTAGCAAGCCGCTAACCAGACTGAGAGTCGAAGATCAAAATGAATTTTTTATGAGAGAGCCACAAAATTTGGTTAACACAAGCCTATCCGATGTTATCCTGACGCCAAATGACTTCGAACAGGTGATAAATGACATGCCCATGCACTCTGCCCCAGGGCCAGACTCATGGAACTCTGTGTTCATCAAGAACTGCAAGAAGCCCCTATCACGAGCCTTTTCCATCCTATGGAGAGGGAGCATGGACACGGGGGGTCGTCCCACAGTTACTAAAAACAACAGACATAGCCCCACTCCACAAAGGGGGCAGTAAAGCAACAGCAAAGAACTACTGACCGATAGCACTAACATCCCATATCATTAAAATCTTTGAAAGGGTCCTAAGAAGCAAGATCACCACCCATCTAGATACCCATCAGTTACACAACCCAGGGCAACATGGGTTTAGAACAGGTCGCTCCTGTCTGTCTCAACTATTGGATCACTACGACAAGGTCCTAAATGCACTAGAAGACAAAAAGAATGCAGATGTAATATATACAGACTTTGCAAAAGCCTTCGACAAGTGTGACCATGGCATAATAGCGCACAAAATGCGTGCTAAAGGAATAACAGGAAAAGTCGGCCGATGGATCTATAATTTCCTCACTAACAGAACACAGAGAGTAGTCGTCAACAGAGTAAAGTCCGAGGCAGCTACGGTGAAAAGCTCTATTCCACAAGGCACAGTACTCGCTCCCATCTTGTTCCTCATCCTCATATCCGACATAGACAAGGATGTCAGCCACAGCACCGTGTCTTCCTTTACACATAACACCCGAATCTGCATGACAGTGTCTTCCATTGCAGACACTGCAAGGCTCCAGGCGGACATCAACCAAATCTTTCAGTGGGCTGCAGAAAACAATATGAAGTTCAACGATGAGAAATTTCAATTACTCAGATATGGTAAACACGAGGAAATTAAATCTTCATCAGAGTACAAAACAAATTCTGGCCACAAAATAGAGCGAAACACCAACGTCAAAGACCTGGGAGTGATCATGTCGGAGGATCTCACCTTCAAGGACCATAACATTGTATCAATCGCATCTGCTAGAAAAATGACAGGATGGATAATGAGAACCTTCAAAACTAGGGAGGCCAAGCCCATAATGACACTCTTCAGGTCAATTGTTCTATCTAGGCTGGAATATTGCTGCACACTAACAGCACCTTTCAAGGCAGGTGAAATTGCTGACCTAGAAAATGTACAGAGAACCTTCACGGCGCGCATAACGGAGATAAAACACCTCAATTACTGGGAGCGCTTGAGGTTCCTAAACCTGTATTCCCTGGAACGCAGGCGGGAGAGATACATGATTATATACACCTGGAAAATCCTAGAGGGACTAGTACCGAACTTGCACACGAAAATCACTCACTACGAAAGCAAAAGACTTGGCAGACGATGCACCATCCCCCCAATGAAAAGCAGGGGTGTCACTAGCACGTTAAGAAACTATACAGTAAGTGTCAGGGGCCCAAGACTGTTCAACTGCCTCCCAGCATACATAAGGGGGATTACCAACAGACCCCTGGCAGTCTTCAAGCTGGTACTGGACAAGCACCTAAAGTCGGTTCCTGACCAGCCGGGCTGTGGCTCGTACGTTGGTTTGCGTGCAGCCAGCAGCAACAGCCTGGTTGATCAGGCTCTGATCCACCAGGAGGCCTGGTCACAGACCGGGCCGCGGGGGCGTTGACCCCCGGAACTCTCTCCAGGTAAACTCCAGGTCCAGGTAAACCCTGGGTGGGTAACCCTCTCTACCCCAGGTTATCCTGGGTGGCAAACCTTCCCTACTCTGGGTTATCCTGGGTGGATAACCCCCTACCCCAGGTAATCCTGGGTGACAAACCTTCCCTACTCTGGGTTACCCTGGGTGGCTAGCCCTCTCTACCCCAGGTTATCCTGGGTGACAAACCTTTCCTACTCTGGGTTATCCTGGGTGGATAACCCTCTCTACCCCAGGTTATCCTGGGTGACAAACCTTCCCTACTCTGGGTTATCCTGGGTGGATAACCCTCTCTACTCCAGGTTATCCTGGGTGCATAACGCTCAGGAGTAAAAAATGGCAACAAAATCCTATCTTGTTTAGCATAATGCAGTAAATTCTCTGACATATTACCATCACCGTCCTTTGATCTTTGTAATATATTAAATTGCATGACTGTGTCTTATAACACAACTGTCTCGCAGAAATCATATTAAAATTATAAACTCAGTAGTGTTAGGCGTGAAAAAATATTTTAGTTAGCCATGCAAAATGTGGGACAGCTCCATTTTCTTTAGAGCGACTTTTAACATACGAACATAAGAATAATTTGAGCATACATACAGAGGTACAAAAAATTACAGATAAGAGCAGCATGCCAAAGCCATTTATATGCATAGCATTACGGGCTGGCTTAAAATTAACTAA